ACTAAATACAATAATCCAGTCAAAAAGACAAATATTATATAAATCTGTTTATATGAGGTATTTAGTGTAGCCAAATTCCTAGAGACAGAAAGGAGAACAATGGTTGCCAAGAGCTGGGCAGGAGCATTTCTTCTTTAATAATTACAGAGTTTCAGTTTTACATGATGAAGTGTCCTGAACTGGGATGAGGGAAAGGAGAAAAGAAAGAAGGAAGGGGGAGAAATATACATATATACATATGGTAGCTAAGATAATTGTACTACTAATTTCTATTGGTTTATTGAAAGGAGCAGTTAGTGCTTAATTTTTTGACCAATTTTGCATGCTTGTATGTGGTAATCTGAACAACTACTTTGAAGACAACAATATGTAATATAACAACCATTGCTGAATTCATATCATCTTATTTTTTGAAATTTTGTATTGTTTCTAATGGTTTTTTATTATTTTTTAAAATCTCTTTAAAATAAAAAAACTGAAAAATATGAAATGTCCTGGAGGTGGGTGACAATGGTTGCACAGCAACACGAGTGTGTATAATGCCCTGAAACTGCACACTTAAAATGGTTAATGTGGTGATTAAATTTTTTTTAATTCTTTTTCGGTACTGGGGATTAAGCTCAGGGACTCCACACTGAGCTATATCCCCAGCCCTTTATAAAATTTCTTTGAGACAAGTTCTCCCTAAGTCATTCAGTTGCCCAGGATGAGCCCAAACTTGAATTCTCCTGCCCTAGCCTCTCAGAGTGCTGGGATTACAGGTTTGTGCCAGTATACCCCGCTTGTAACTTTTATCTTGTATGTATTTTACTCTAAGTAGAGATGTTTTAATTGGTAAAGTGCCTGAATAGCTATTTCTCAAAAGAAGATATACAAATAACAAATAAGCACATGAAAAGATGCTGAACATTGTTAGGCCCCAGGGAAATGTACATCAGAACCATGAGATCCTACTTCATGTGTACTAGGATAGCTATACTACAAAGGACAGACAATAAAACTTGTTGGCATGGATGTAGAAAAATGGTGCAGCCACTTTGGAAAGCAGTTTAAAGTTTCCTCAAAAGTTAAAAGGCGTTACCATAGGAATCAATTTTACCTGTCAGGTATATTACCCAAAAGAAATGAAAACATGTCCAAAATAGAAATGTAAGGGCGGGGGATATAGCTCAGTAGCACAAGCACCTGCCTGGCAAGCATGAGGTCCTGAGTTCAATTCCCAGTACCAAAAAAAAAAAAATTATGAACAAAATAGAAATGTACATAGGTCATTATGCATAATAGCTAAAAAGTGGAAACAACACAAATATCATTGAGCTGATGGGTCCATAAAGTGTGAACTAACTATTCATACTATTAGAATATTATTTGCCAGAAAGGAATGTAGCACTGATACATGCCACATGATGGATGACCTTGAAAATATTATGTTAAGTGAAAGAAGTCGGGAAAAACCTACTACATACCCACAGTGCCATTCATGTGAAATGTCCAGAATGGACTGACCAGTAGAAGCAGAAAATAGATTTGTTGTTGTCAGGGTCTGGGGAAAGGGGAGAAATGGAGAGCATCTACCAGTGGCTACAGGACTCCTATTTGGGGTAATGGAGGCTGGGGATTTAGCTCAGCGGCACAGGGCTTGCCTGGCAAGCGCAAGGTCGTGAGTTCGATTCCTGGTACTGGAAAAAAAAAACCAAAAAAATAAAAACTAAAAAAAAAAAAACAAAAAACTATTTGGGGTAATGAAACTGTACTAAAATTGATCGGTGATGGTTGCACAATGTTATGAGTACACTAAAAACCATTGAAAGCTACACTTCAAATGGGTGGATATCTCAATAAAGCTGTTAAAATGCATTGGACTCTTCTACACTTATAAAAACTGAAGGTTTCTTTCTATCACAAACATTAATAAAATACTTATATGTCGTGCACTGTGCTAAGTGCTGTTGGAGCCAAAAAATTAAATTTTCCAATTCTGCCGGCTCAGTGTTTATAGCCCAGCACATGTGCATTGGTGACTGCCACACACGGGAGAAAGTGAGGCTGAACCCAAGGAAGTACCAAGTGTTATGGTGAGGGTAAGAACGATCCTCCATGGAAGAGGTGACATGAGGGGCTCCAGAGGGTAGCAGGATTTGGACAGGTGCAGTTCAGTGTAAAAGGCATTCTAGCTATTAAAGGGGTAAGGGTGGTCTGGTAGCAAAGTGCCTGCAGGACAATGAAAATGTGAAACACTTACTGGGAAATGTCAAGTATCTCAATTAGCCTGCAGGTAGGAACTGGAGAGTAGTGACCCTTCAAGGAGCACAAGTAGATTAGGGCACAGAATGTCATGCTCAAGAGTTTGGCTTTAGCCAGAAGGGCTTGGTGACACACGTCTGTAATTTCAGCAATTAGGAGGCTGAGACAGGAGGATCATGGGTTTGAGTCCAGCCTAGGCAATTTAGAGACTTAGTGAGACCCTGACTCAAAATTTTAAAAATAAATTGAAAAGGGCTAGGGATGTAGCTCAGTGGTAAAGGACTTGCTTCGAAAAAAAAATAAAGTTTGGACTTGCCTCACTAGGTAAGAAACAAACATGAAAACTTTTGAGCAGAGCTGTACTTTAGAGCATATTCTCACCCTCCATGCTGCCTCCACGCCCGCCCTCATCCTGAATCACACAGGGCCCATTATGCATCTCCTCTTCGAGCCAAGACATTTGAGACAAGGGGCTGATGTCAAGTCACCAAGCACAGAAGAGACTGAAATATAAGCACAGCTAGGATTAAGAGAGGATCTTAAAATCTTCCAGAAAGCCAGTCACATAGCAAACAAACAGGAATCCACACAATCTCGGTCTTCCCAAGAGCCTTGCTAGATGCTACAAGATAATTGAGCAATGCCATAAAAATGTGAAAGAAAATAATATTTGACCCAGAAGTCTATTCCTGGCCACAAGACTAATCCAACTTGAGGTTAAAGATCTTGTCAGAAATGCAAAGGCTCAGAAATGTTCTCTCATGCATCTTTCTTAGTTTTTAAAAGGACTTACATAATTATTACTGAACCAAGATACTGGTATAGAGCGTAAAATCAAAGAGAAAAGCTATTTTCCCAAAAAGAAACATTTTCTTTTTCTATAGTAGACGCTGGTGACCTTAACCAAGCATTAATATGTGTGTTAGCTCATATACAATTTCTTATAGACCCAGCTAGGTTGTTCTCCCATGTCTCCTTGGAGTTATAGCTAATTTTGTTCTGGTTTTTATCCAAATCCATTGGTTAATGGGGTACTTGTGCTATGTTGTAGTTTTTGCAGTACTGGGAATTGAACCCATGGCTTTCATACTAAGCTACACCATAGCCATTTTAAAAAATATTTATTTAGAGACGGGGCTTCACTAAAGTTGCCCAGACTGGACTTAAACTTGTCATCCTCCTTGCTTCAGCTTCCCAGAGTGCTGGGATCATAGGTATGCACCACCACGCCCTCCTATGCTTTTGCCTTTATTTCTGAGCCAGGAACTGCTTGATCCTGAAAGTCTTGTGAGTCGACATGGCAAGGAATAGGGTAAAGGCCAGGCAGCACAGTGGTAGACAAGACAAAGAGGGCTCAGACAGGTTTCTTAGAGACTACTGGAGGATATATGGTAGCAAAAAGAAGGAATAAAACAAGACTAGCAGCTGGGTGAGTTGACACACACTCGTAATCTTAGCTACAAGTGAGTAGCTGAGACAGGAGGATGGCAAACTCAAGTCCAGCCTGGGCAACGTGGCAAGACTCTGTCTCAAAATAAGAATAAAAAAAGGCTGGGGATGTGGCTCACGGCTCTCTGGGTTCAATTCCAAGTATTGTGAAAGCAAAAACAAGCAAAAAAGGAACTTAGGAAAGTGGATCCAACCTACAGGAGTAGGTGGGGAACGTTCAGGGCAAGTCTGTGCAGCACGTAAGAAGGGCATGCAGTCAAGGTTGGTGGAGGAAGCTGGCAGGCCCCAGGAAGGCAATGTCGGGGAAAAACAGGGAGAGGACTGGGTGGAGTATCTAACATTATCAAGAGGTTATAAAGAATTTAGGATATGTGGAACATAGGTAAGGAAAAGGAAAAGATAGTGATTCCGGATCAAAAATATTACCAGAAAAGAAAAATAATCATAGTATTATTATATGATTGTGTAATGAATGATATCAACATTATCAACATACTTCTAATAGTGCAAATACTTGCTTTCTTTTAAAATATAATTAAAATGCAATTATATAATGTAGGATTATCTGACTTTCATCTGTCTAGTGCTCTTCTAGCACAGTATGAGATCAATAGCTAATGCCTGAAATTGACAAGTTTAGAAATACCAATAAAATCATGCTGTAAAAGGATATGACCATTATTACTAGAAGAAGCAACTGACAGTATTTCAATGGCTACTCCTATGGAGCAGAACCAGGGTGTAGTAAAGGGCGGACAACAGAACCGCTGTTTCTCATTATATCACTTTAAATTCTGAATTATTTGTTTTTATAATATTAGTACATATTTTGAATTCTGCAACTATAAAGAGGAAACTCAATCTGAGCATGCTGGGAAGGCTGACCTGGAGCGGGTAGAAACCTAATTGGACGGACAGTGTCACGGTGGTGACCAGAGATAGTAAGGGGTGGAATGAGGCTAATTAGGCAAACATTCAACCAGATTTATTCAACTCATATTCAGAAAGGCATTTTTCCATCAGAAGTCTCATTAGAATGTAATCTCCTGTAGAGTAGCGGCTTGTCTATTTTGTTCACTGCTCTTTCCCTAGCATGTAGCAGAGTGTCTGACACCTATAGAAACTCCATGAATATTTGTTGAATGAATAAATTAATAAACTTTGATACATTTTCTGTAAGGCCCAATTGCATTTGTTCTGGATTCTAAGGTGATGATTATTTATAAGATGAATGCTTCCTTAGATGGCAACAAAATAATAGCCATGCTACTTTTGTCTCTTCTTCCCCCTCCACCACCCACAGAAAAGGAAGAATAGAGTAAGATCCACTTAATGTTGTGGAGAGCAAGGCAATAGTACCTACCTCCAAAACACAGGTAAGATGTGTAACACTGACATGCATCTTCCCAGATAAATGGTTAGAGGGAATGGAAGAGGCCTTGGTTTATTTGGACTGAGTTTAGAGTTTCCAAGATTCCATTCTCTTTGACTTTCCCAAGTAGACCTGGATCAAATTCATGATGAAAAATCCATGACCTGAACTTTTCACACACGTTTCAACAGAATTTTGTCCAGAATCCCCGTAATTTTAGTTGGAATTTGAAAAAGCAATAATTCAAGAGGCAAAGTGCCTGAGAAGAAATATATTATGTTATACAAATGTCTATAAGCAGTGCCAAAGAAGCTTTGCATAAATATATCAGAAAATTAAGAAGGAGATATCAGCTACCCTCTAGCTGAAACCACTGAGCATATATTTAGTCTGAAAGCTCACTTCCTAAACCCTCCTAGAACTCTGATTGCATTTTAAGCAGATGTTCGAAGGGTGAGGGACAAGGGAGATGTTTTCAAAATAACTCCCACCATCTTAGCAATTGCTAGGCAGATTACTGTCAAAATTAATTTATCCATGCACAAGGGTTGTACTCCTTAGACGTTTTAGTCTAGAGCATTATTATATTCATATAATGGTGTGGTATCCATCAAAAATAACATTAACTGGATGAAGGCAAGTTACCAAGGCAAGAAAGCACCTGTGGGGAAGGAGGCAAGAATCATGCTAGAAGTTGGGTATCGAGTGGAAGCTCAACTCAGTTCCCATACCTCCTTCCCCACTTGCCCACATCAATTTCAGTGTCCCATCCAGGTCCACTCCTCTACAAGTCTTTGTGGCTCTTTCACCTCTGAGAATATGTCCTTCAAACTTTTGGACGTTTTACTTGGCTTCAGCTTGTAGCAGCAGTTAACCTTATTAGCTCTTGTTAACCACTGGAATTTTTAAGCCGGTCCATGAAGCCTGTGTTATATTTGTTTGGCTTCGTTGTTACTTTCATAATATGAAAAAGATTTTTAAAATTAAAATCTGGGAGAATGCTCAGAAATGAGAGGCCATTTGTATTTTAACAGTGCACACAAGGCATGAAATATGTCTCTCCACATTGCAGCTGCTAAGTAACACAAATAGTTTTCTGGTCTCCTAAACATTTGCTTATGCACTTAGGCATTCCTCTGATACCATTCAAAAGTTGTGCTTAAATACTCCATGATTTATGTGCACAACAGGAAGAGGAAAGATTATTTCTCAATTATTCTTATTTCTCTGGAATCAGCAGCCAATACCATAGCAATTCTAGACTAAATAGTTGAAAACAGGCAGTGTTCCCTAAGGAAGGGAGGGTGGCACCCTCTTTTACACATAAAAGCTAAGGCTCTGTCATTCCACCCTGTGTCAGATGGGTACTGGGTACTGGGGATAAGGAAGCACACCAGATAGTCCTGGTCCCAGTCTTCGTGAAGCCCATTCTGGTAGAGAGAGTCACACCCGAGTCAAGAGCATGAAGAAAATTTTGAGGTGTGCTTAGAGCTGTGGAAATGGAGGTTGTTATAGTACAAGTCACTGGAGGGTAATGACTGAACGTTTTCATATGAGTAAAACAGCCTTGTCCTGAGCAGTGTGCTGTCTAGTAGAGACAGACTAAATGCAAGTAAGCAAATAACTAAGCTAGCTATGGGTTATGAGCAAATAACAACGGGACAAAGGGTGAACAGAAAAATTCTCTCCCTGGAGGTGCTTTCTCAGCGGAGGGCTCATGGGCAAGGAGGGACTGGACAAGGCCACACGTGGGGGAAAGAATCTTCCAAGCTGCAGAAACAAAAGCTCTTACGTTTCTAACATGGAGAAAAGCTAGACATTTCCAGGAAAGAAGCCATATGGACCACAGAGCAAGAGTGGAGGGAAACGAGGTTGGCGAGACGGACAGGGCCAGGTTCTCTGGGGCCTTCCCACCGCCAGTGAGGGAGGACTGCAATTCCTACTCTCAGTGCACTGGGAAAATGAAAAGGCTGCCCTGAGTTTTCCATTCTTTGGCCTTCTGTTTTGCACTGGCTCATCTGTACACTCACACAGGACAAATGGGCGCAGGGTGTCGGTGAGACATGAGAAATATCTGAAAATATAATACATGAGCTTTGGCCTTTAAAAACTTCAAAGAACATATTCAAATGGATATTTGAATATGGTAGTTAAATGAAAGTGTGTTCTTGTAGATTGTTATGACCATGTAAGGTAGTAAGCCAAGTGGAATCTAAGTCCACTCCACCTTCCCTCTCTCTAAAGTTGTTAACAGGAATATTTGTTAAGTAAATAACTAAGGTAGTAGTTTGGTCAGTTAAAAACTGCCTCCTTCCAAAGAAAAAGTAAAATAGGTGACATCAACCTACATAATATAACAGTAAAAATTAATCCGTAGTTAAAGCTCACTACAGCACCAAGGGAAAACATGGACAGGGAAATAGAATGAAGCTGAAATTGAAGTCAAGATAGTGTGTTGGCAGGGCCTGGTGGCACGTGCCTGTAATCCCAGCACTTGGGAAGCTGAGGCAGGAGGATCACTGTGAGTGATCCAGCCTGGATGGATCACTGAGGCCAACCTGGATGTCTTGGTTACTCTTCTCTTGCTGCTGAGACAAAATACCCAATGCCCAAAATGAAGGAAGGAAAGGTTTATTTAGCTTGCAGTTTGTGGACATTTCATCCCATACTTGGCTGGCTCCAAGGCAGAAGATAACAAAGCAACAAGAGCAAAGGGGGGAATGGCAGTGCGTGCAAGCCTCTTTCCCTCCCTTATCTTGTAAGCAGGCTACCCTCACCCAGGGAGCAGCACTCACATAGTTAACCCTCTAAATTTCTCACGTTGATACAATGAATAACATCCTAGAGCAGGAAGGGCATGTCCTTTGTACCCCAGGATGTAGAACGGCTGAGTCACTTAGCCAAACCTCTAGACTCCCCAAGTTGACACAATGTATCAACCATAACACTGGACAACATAGAAAGACACTGTGTCAGCCACACACCCCCAAAAAACAGTATCTCAAACTGATACTGTTTGATACTTTTGGTCCTGGTGGACCAAAGAAGGAAGAAAGACTACATTTGTATTGCCTATAAGATAAGACAGTTTAAAAAAAAAAAGACAGTTTTGCTCCAGATAGGTATAGCTTTTACTGGCATAGGAGCCTGATGGAAATTTCCCTCATGGATTCTATTAGACTGGGGACACTGTACTTGACAGAACCTATTTCCTTTTTTAAAACACGTTAATTAGGTTATATTCACAAACCATAAAATTTTTCTGTTCTAAATGTAGAATTCCCTTTGTCTTCTTAAAGATTGAACACCTAAGCGGGTTATATAATTGGACAGAATTATTATCTTTCCTTCAGATGAAAGATAAAATGACTCACGGGCTGAGGATGTAGCTCAGTGGTAGAACAATTGCCTTGCAAGTGCAGGGTCCTGGATTTGCTCTCCAGCACTGGAAGAAAAACCACACAGATAGTGATTGTTATGGTTTGGATTTTAAATGTACCACAAAACAAATGTGCTGAAGACTAGGTTGCCAGCTGATGAGCTTTTGGGGAAAGAATTGGATCACGAGGATTCTAATCATAACTTGATGGCATTATTGGAAGGTGAGGGAAAGAAGGATGTGGGATGTAGTTGAAGGAAGAGGAACATGGGGGCATAACCTTAGGACTATATGTGATTTCCCAGCTCTCTTCTCTCTGGATTTTTCCCCTTCTCTGCTCTTCCTGGATGCCATGACCTTAGCAGCTCTGCTCCATCATAACCTTCCACCTTGATGTTCTGCCTCACCTCAGGCCTAAAGCCATGGGACCAGCTGACCATGGACTGAAACCTCAGAAACTGTGAACCAAAGTCAATCTTTGCTCCTTTAAAGTCGTTTTTCTCAGGTATTTGGTCACAGTGATGAAAGCTACATAACACAATAACTAATATGTGGAATTATACTTTCTTCTAGCGAAAATGTCTACAGTGCTATATTTCTTCTAATTGCTACTCATAAAGATTGTAGAATTAGTTCTATTTTATAAGACGGAGGGCCTAAGGATCAGGAAAGTTGAGCAATTTAGCTGAAATCAGACATTCATCTAGGCTAAACTTCAAGACTGGAACGTTACACCAACTATATTCTGATTCCAATTGCTTAATATGGACTGATTTTCCCTGTTTACAAGTTGCTATTCTTTTTTTTTTACAAGTTGCTATTCTTGTAGTGTGTTCATCTCACTCAATAGAAGTTCAGAAATGTGAAAGGGGTCCAGGAATTCAAACTCTCTCAAGGCCTTATTTCAAATTGCTAAACACAGATTAAGTGTAAGCAATACACTCCACTGCTATAAATGAAGAAATAAAATGTTTGCTTCTTCATTTCTAGATAAACACATGAAAAATGTGTTTCAACCCTTTAAAAACTAGGTAGGACATTCCATCACATTGGTTCAGACATCAGTTTCTCCAAACTTGGGTGATTATTGTTTAATGACATGTGGCTCAACAGGAATACATAGACAATGGTTGATGAACAGAATGTGAAATATGCAGGTGTTATTGCAAAAGACCTTGCTATTTCCCAGAAGTACATTAAGGGAAGGAAAACATAAAGTCCAAAAGATTTGTAAATTCATGCTCCTTGTTTATCCAGGATTTTCGAGCTCCTCGGAAAGTATCCTACAAAGCCAAACAAGGAGTTGGCCATTTGAGAGCCCGTGGTCTTGCAGCAGGATGTGTTTATGATCTCTCTAGACTCCAGTCAACATGAACTAAGAGCTGGAGAGACAGAGGCCAAAAGGTGCTTTCTTGAATCATGGAAGAACCAATCATAGTGCTGGGAACTTGATCTGTCCTCAGTAATTGCATTTTTAACCAGAAGACAATGGGGATGAAAAACAGTTTTTTATTTTCTTATGTTTTGTATGTTGGAAAAATCCGTTAAGTGTAAGTGCATAGCCTGATGAATTTCCACAATATGACCACACCTCTGTTACCAGTTATTCATTTCCAGTGGAGGAA